GAATGAAAGTGAAAAACTAGTAGAATGTAAAAGAAATTCCATATATTAGTCTTTCGATCGAATATCCTCCACCTTCACAAACCAAAATCCTCTCTAATAAGATGAAAATGTTACATTTTTCACATATGAAATTTAGATGAACATGTTATAAAATAAGATGAACATGTTACATAATAAAATGAACATGTTATAGGACAAGATGAACATGTTACATAATAAAATGAACATGTTATAGAATAAGATGAACATGTTACATAATAAAATAAACATGTTATAGAATAAGATGAACATGTTTAGATTCCATATCTACCTCACGGGCTCTCACATTATTTTCTCCAATTTCCACTTCATACACAAAATTCTGGTCAATTTCTTGCTCGACTTTCACTCGTTTAATGCAAGCACCCCCGCCCTGAAATAATAAACCATAATCTACATATAAGAACTCAAATTTATGCAATAGTCATACTATAGGGAATGAAAGTGAAAAACTAGTAGAATGTAAAAGAAATTTCATAAATTTGTCTTTCGATCGAATATCCTCCACCTTCACAAACCAAAATCCTCTCTAATAAGATGAAAAGGTTACATTTTCACAGATGAAAAATTTGACCGCGCGTCGCAACGCGGCAAAATTATAATTTATATTTTCCTCAGTTAACCTCTACTAACTAGTAGTAGCGGCAAGTAAGGGTCGATCCCACGAGGAGTGTGAATCAAATTGTGAATTTTCTCATATTAATTGAAATTATAAAAAACGATAAATGGGGGTTTAATAACTAAACTACCTAAAAATCTAATGAAATAAATAAAATCTAAACAAGAAAATAAAAATAAAAATAAATAAATAAAGAGAACTTTCTAGTTCACGGTTCCGTCTACACCCTCGACTGACTCGTCTAATCAATTTTAGTATTAAATCTCGCTATCTCATAAAATTACTAGCCCTAGGCAACGACACGGTCTGTTACCCGAATTTTTCCTTATTTTTAATTTAACCGCGAGACGCTCTACGATTAAACCTGACTTCTTGTACAGTCCAGAAAAACGTTTTCAAGATTTAATACAATTAGCCGCTTTACGAATTAGAAAAATAGGCTAGACTAATTAGTGAACTCAACCGCGTTTGTTCACTTAATTAGGCCGTGTTATCCCCGGTAGTTACCATCTTCCGGTTACCTCTTATGAATTAAACACAACAACAATTACGGATTGCAAGTCTAATTCAGATGTAGATATGAAAAGCCTAATCTAGGTGATCAATCTAAACAAGACTAACACATCATGGTGAATTATTCAAAATAACACAAGGAATTCCAAAAAGATAACTCAATTATTAACCATAAAAATCAATCAAAACATAGTCAATTGTAGAGTTCAACTTCCCCGGAACTAGAAATAAAATCTACTCTAACATAATAAATAAAAACAAAAGAAAGAGAATAGAATTATCCCCTTTTCGTGTGCGGGTGCGGCTTCCCTCCGCCTTAATCAGCTTTCGCGTATCTGTGTTGTTCTGTGCGCCTGCTTTTCTTTTTCTTTTTTCTTTTTATGCTGTGCGTGAATGATGGCGGCTTTTTCTGATTTCGTCCCGCAGCCCCCCAAAAAGGTGTCCAGGTCAAAGTATGAAATAAATAATCCCCCGCAAGCAAAAATCTCCTAATGTACCTCCCTTCCTCTTGGGCCACGTCACTTTTCTCATGTTTATACCCCAAAGTCCAACAATTAATTTCTTTGACTTAGTCCACCCAGGCCCACTTTAGTTTTAATATTTGCGGCCCACTTGTATTAATTCTCGTGCCAATTACGTGATTTGCGGGTCTGCTATAGGAATACGGGGCCTGCTGGTTCAGTACGGGATGCCCCCGTACTTGCTGGAACCACTCAATTCTCGTTCGGTGTCACACCCATGAAAATAATTCAATATTCTGAAAATAAAACATAAAAATATCATAGAACTTAAATCCATCTAATAAATAAATAAGTCGAAAAACATATAAGTGACATAAAATTAAGGATGCAAAAGCGATGCGGAAGTCTTCTTGCCCGAGCGGTTTTTGGGCCTCAGAGGGAAGGATTTCGAGCTGATACCGTATATGTCCCGGTTTGGCCCTCGCGCATAGGATGGTGCACCTCATGCTTGCCACGTTAGTCGGGGGTTTCAAGTGGCGGATTGAAGGAGGGGCAAAATTGGAAGATTTGGAAATGGAGGAGATGTTTGGGATCTCGGTGAAGAAGGCCGTGCCTCTCAAGGTGGTTCCTCTAAATATGTGAGGTTGTTTAGCTTGGAACAAACACTGTGTATCCATCCAGTAGACGTGATTCAAATAATTTTAGGGATAATTCAAACAATAAGCCCTAATTAAAAATATTTATAATGAATGAGTCCAGCAGCTTGGCATACAAAAGTTTTTATTCTCAATTTCAAATACTGCCCGGACGTCCACGCAGCAGAATTTAACATATTTAATCACTGTGATTAACTTTTAATCTCACCCTTTTTTTTNATCTCACCCTTAAATCAAAACGAGCTCACGAAATCACCGACCTCCTCGTACAGTTGATCCGCGAATTTCGGATCGAAAATCTCCACCGCGTGGTACCCGCTATCCACGAACTGACGCACCACGCGCACCCCACGCGCCGCCAGCATCTCCGCGAACTCCTTCTGCCTGTCGAGCAGTATGTCCGCCGCGTACCCCCTCACCACGCTCGCCGGCAGCCGTCCGATCCTCTCCACGTGCGGCCCCTCGGCCGACGGGTCGCAGTACCAATGTCCCCGGTCGGCGCCCTCCGGCAGCGCCAGGGACCACAGCAGGTCCATCACGTGCAGGGGAAAAATCGGATCCCTCGCCCGCTCGATCTCCGACCCCGTCCGCCGCACGCCACCGAAGAATGGCTGGTTCATTATCAGCCCCACAATTTTCATCCTCGGCTCCAGGTTCATATCAACGGCCCGCAGAGCCGCGTGGTAGACGATGCTCCCGCCGGAGCTGCTCCCCATCAGGAACACCCGCGAGAAGTCCGCCAGCTCTGCCACCCACGGGTCGCTGCCGCCGCCGCCGGCGACCCAGGCGATGGCCTCGACCGCGTCGTCGTAGGCCGCGGGAAGGCGGTACTCTGGGGCGAGTCGGTAGTTGACAGAGGCGACGAGGGCCGGGAACCGGGCCGCCATGCTGGCGCACGAGTCGTGGAAAACGGCGGAGGCGGCGCTCAGCAGCACAAAACCGCCGCCGTGGAAATAGATTACGAGGGGGAGTTTGGCCGCCGGTGGGGTTTTCCGGGGGCGGAAGAGGCGGATGAAGGTGTTGTTTGCGGTGTTGAGGGGCACATCTCGGGAGAGGGCGACGGGGGTGGAGCTATCCGGGTCGACCCGGGGAACCGCGGGCACGTCGGGGAATTTGGTGAGTCGAGTGAGGGAGCCGTCCGGGTTGCGGACGAGATGGAGATTCTTGTAGGCTTCGTCCTCCATTGATGGAATTGTGAGTTCTTCATTATGGTTTGACATTTTTTTTGTGCTTTTTTGGTTATGGTTAGAAGTTGGGAATTGGAGATGAAATGAAACTAAGGTGGAGAAAAGATGCTTTTCGATGTAATATTAATTAATTGTGCGTATTAGCTATGAATAAAAGGTAGCTATTTAACAAGTCTAAACTAACTGTATTCGCAGCTATTTAATAAGTCTATACACCTGTACCTAAAAAAAATAACCAAACACCTAGAAACCGTTCAGATATAGACACTCGCACATGTAGCTGCCTTCACTGGGGCCAATCTCAATAACTACTCACACATAGGCTTACTTTAAGATTTGACAACTTTGGGTTGTAAATGATTTATATACAGGTTGGTTTGGAATTGTAGGCACATGTAGATGTAGTTGTAGTTGTATTTGTATAGTTTCATACACAAATGATATTACAAAAGTTCATTCGATAATGTTGGCGAACATAAATTTAATATAATTTTTTTTTGTATGTTTACATGATATTTTCAATAAAAAAATCTATAATATAAAGATATTTTTATTATAATGTTTTATTTTCTAGTTAGAAAGAACAATTTTCGAAATTTTAAGTTTGTTTCATAAATTATTCGAACTCGAACTTTGACGAACAAGCTCGAACACGATTTTTTATTTGAAATATAAACAAACGAACATAAACACTGTCCGAACGTAAACGAACACGAACTCGAAATGCCCAAACTCGTTCGTTTGGTTCAATAACAACACTTAATGGTTAAACAGGAGGTTGACTCGCAAAAGTTGTGGACTAAAGTAAAAATTAACGCGAGGTTAAACTACAATGTTTATTGAGATATACACGACAGAGAGATAAAAATGAAAACATTAAAACAATATACTGACTGAAATGAAGTTACTACATATTATCAGTGATCACATAATTCTTACGACAAAGCGAATCTAACAGTGAAAAATTCCAGTCACCCCTAAATTATGGGTCACAACAAATTTACTCATTATCTTGATTCGAAAAGCAGCCTTCTTCTTTTTCTGGAAATGTTTACTACCTTGCCCAGGGGTAGATAACAATATTGTCGGTGCAGTTTTCCCTTGACAAAGTGCAAGTATGACGTGAAAATGTACATATCAGGTGACTCCACTGCTCACGTTTAACTAAATTAGTACTCACTGCATTCCAATTTCCAAGTTTTCCTCGAAACAACTATATTATGATGGTAATTTATTTTCTTTTGGCTTTTAAAGTCATACTACACCATCATTCATATTTACTAATAAGTTAAAGCAAACAATTCAATANTCCAGTTAATTCAGTACCCACAACTCCAATATTCCCAGCCTCCACACAACACACCATAATGCACACAATGCTCTTTGATCAAACACTAAATTAACCAAAAACTAAAAAAGTCCACAGTAATTACCAAAGTAATTAACAATCATGCGTCCAAACTTACAGTGGCTTTGCCGTGCCTCCTCCGTTTTCCTGAGGATTAACCGGCGTTGAAACCCCGCTCTTCTTAGACGAGTTGGATGGCCCGCCAGTAATGGTCCGGCCCATGAACTTCCCAGCTTTGCTCAGCCCACTACCGACAAGCCCAGCTCCAGCGCCTAGGCCCGACCCAACAAGCCCAGCTCCGGCCCCAATGCCAGCACCCACAAAACCCACCCCGGACCCTACCAGGGAAGCTGCGCCATCAAGGGCATCCATTGTGCTCCCGATAACTCCAGCCTCTTTCAGTTTCTTACGCTGCTCTAAGATCCTCTTCTCCTCTTCTAGGGCTGCTAGCTGCTCTTCCTTGTTAAATTCGTGGTACAACACCTGAAACCATTGGTACACACCTTCTAAGCAGGATTAACTTGAACATAATCTTATTACAATGGACAGCAACCAATTTCTCTTTTTGATTTTTGGGTAGGGTGAAAGAGACTGTAAGTGCATGCTTGGATATAAATTTTCCAAAAAAATTCAATCATATTTAACCAATCATTTTTTTTTAACTCAAATCTAACTCAACCCCACTATCCTCAACAATATAATTAAATAATATCACTCAATCATTCTTACTAATTACAGCATTTTTAATTCACTATTCATCCACTTACATAATTTTAAGTCACCATCACTTCACATCATCTCTCTCCTACTTTTACATCAAATTATTTTAAATATTATTTCAATATAAACTCAAAATCCAACTAACATTTAACCACACCACACCAAAAGAAAGAATCTAAACAAAATCAAAACATCTTATATCCAAGCATCCACAGCACTTCCATTTTCAAAACCAAAAGAGTGAAAAAAAATTATATAATCAGAACCAGTGAAGCGTGTACCCGAAGAGTCACAGTGCCTCTATCCTTCTTATCTTTAATCTTAAGCATATCGAGTGATGGGAGCAGCCTTAGTTCGAAATCTTTTGATTTTTCTGCTTCCAACTCAATAAGTGGCAGCTTTGTAATGCCCAATCGCTTGTCCTGTCCAATGTCTTGATCAAATACCTGTTCACAACACATGGAACATGCTCATTATTCAGAGACAGAAAAAACACCACAGAACTAGAGGAGAAAAGAAGGAAAACAAATGAAGGTATAAAAAACCTCGATAATGAGATACTGGGTCTCCTTGTCTTCTGCGATCAATTCAAATGTTTGATTCCAAACAGGATTCAAGTTGTTATCTACAATCTTTGTTTTTACTTTAAACAAAGGACGGATGTGTAAGACAACATAGGGATCAGATTTTCCTATCAATTCCATATTTTTCAGGTTGTTTGCCTGTACGACAGTTACTGTGAGTTTTCCAACCGGCTTAAGCTCCAATTCACTGCAAAGATGTAGAAAAAACATATATAAACCATCCACTTGGATCATGTCGAAGGAATAACACTCTTAAAGAAAAAAGTCGAAGTGGGAAGTACGGATGATTAAATTCAGAAAATTCCTATTAAGTCTTCAGTTAGTAGCCATTGATGTCCCAAGTTCCCATAACACAGAAAATCATCGAACCTAGCCCAAAAACCCAAGATATACCCCTCACCAACTGTCTACTACAGTACTTGGGTATTATTATTTCACGAAATTTAATTTTTCCAGATAATTCATTTCTCTCTCACTTTGATAATCTATAATTCCCCTTTCGTAACAGTGATGTAAAAAAGTAAAGGAAAAGGAAAGAAAGATATAATAAAAAGAGAATAACAGATGAGAAAAGAAAAAAAAAAAAAAATCCTGGACTCACCTGGTATCTACAGGTATACCACCGATGGGGACAACAATCCTGTGGGGCCATTGTAGCATATCCGTCACAATCGTATTAACAGTGTCCTTAATGAAATGAATAAATAGTCAGTCTAAAATACTTGAATATTCATTGAACTAAGGAAAAATATAAGAACTCACATCAATCATATCTGAAAGCCCAGGAATAGCTGTTAAACTTCCACCAACAGCCTTCAGAGTATAATCGATTCGTGGCTTCGGCTGAGTGACATCAAAAGGCAGAATGATTTACAATCATTGAGAAAAAGAAAAACCACGAAGGAGAACAATTGTTTTCTGAGAAGCCAAGTGAGGTAAAAATGTTATTATGCTGTAAAAAACAACAGTATCAGCCAGTCATTGCTCTATTGCTATGAGAAGAAACAGTAGTAAGGACTGCCTTTCAACCTCTGCGATCTTTTAATCGGTTGATTAATGCATAGCCATCTCTCAAAAAATTCAATATGCATCACCGTTTAAGTTTATTTATATCAAATCAACATATATATGCACATGATGTACCTCAGCAAGCAGAGCAACCACTACTGCAGAGATGCAAGGAATTTCATCCGCAAGTTGGAAAATAGCACGAACCACAGTGAAAACTTTAAGATCCTTCAACTGCAAGGAAAATGGAATGGCAAATTTTCCATCTGAATACAGGAGTATATAGTAGCAAAACAAATAATAACAGCAAGCCACCAGGACATAAAAGGTTCATTTACTGCAAGTTCTGGCACCCACCACACACATACACATACTTACAGACATTCTCAGAACAATTTTAGAATGTCCTGGATATTATTCATTTACCAACCTGAATAGGTATAGAAGCAACACGTGCAGCCTCGACAGCTAGGATAATACTCGGATCACCACCCCACCGGAGGTCAATATCCATTGTGATTTGACCTTCTTTAAGACTCTGAACCCGAATCCCTTCACAAATTAAAAATTAAGCACGTTGTGAGGTAGAAACCAATGCGCAAAATAAAAAGTAAAGCGGGAGATCCACAAACGGTAATCAATTAAGCAAATATAATGAAAATAATCAGTACACGCTACATTGTTATATCTCATACACATTCTTCAATTTCATTAAGATATGACCTACTTTGGTAGTGAAACTTATCAATGCATAATAAACAAGCATGACGAAAAAACCAAATGCAAACATATACAAAAAAGTTGGATGAGTATTTTCCAGTATACCAGACAACATATTTATAATGGTATATGGAAATTGTTTGAATCTTATTAACATGTCTAAGACTCAACGTTCAAATGATGAATAATCTAACAGCATATCTTGCACAAATTGCTTGCATTTGATAGAAAAGCACACCACAGTAGTTAAGTTGCTATGACACTCGGCCACACAAAATGACAATGTAGAGAACTTGAACAACGGACTTTTAAGACAGCTCCAGATAAGCTACATGGCAAGATAATGAGTTACAGTGATGAGAAGACATCAAATCTATTGCACCATATGATGAGCATCCCTACAATTAGGCAAAAATAACAAAAAGAAAAAATACTGATAATCCCACTGATGGTATATAAAATGGTCGAAAACTCATGATAGAACCACCCATGCAAATATTCCAAATGATCCGGTGTAAAGTCAAATAAATTGCACGAAGTTTGATACACAGAGATGAAAGTAGCAAACTGACTGAAAAATGCACATTTAAGAATTGATTAATACTCCCTCCTATTCCCTCCTATTCATAATAAGTGTCGTTTTGAGAAGTTGCACAGTAATTAAGAATTTTTTTTTTTTTGGCCAATAATAACACTCATTAATGAAGATAGAGACTGATGTTTTGAGACAAGATGAAGAGTAAATATGAAAAGACATAGTTTATTTATTAGCTAAATGAGGGTAATAATGGAAAAATATGTACAAAAGATCCAAAACGTCATTTATTTGGTTAATGATTGATAAAGCCAAAATGACATTTAAAAAGAATAGGAGGTAGTATTACTAATTTGTCAACAATGTGTCAACCTTCAATTTTAGGAGCCACTGTTCCAAGAGACAATTTGCTGAATTTCAAAGAAGAAATTCCTGTAGGACGATACTCTTCCAATAACGGTTCAACAGATTCTTTTATAACAGCCTCTGCTGCCTGAAAGGAAACCGTTCCAGAAATTTAGCAGTAACCTTATGAAAATGATACCTAATATTAGATTCTGCTGCCAATGTGTAAAGCGAAATCTTCAGCTATCAACTTATCTATTTCAGTGTGAGATAAAAATATACATCCATCTATATAAAAAGAAAATGAATTCTAGAAATAGATAACAGAGAGCTGTTATTGTCCTGCCCATTTTATACTTACTAAATATAGAGTTCTGTAATTATTTTAAACTAAGTTAATATTTGTATTTTCAATCCGTTTCCCACTCAAAATGTTTCAATTTTTCTCATCTTATTGTGTTCTTCATTTGATACCAAATTATACAAAATTATATATATATAATAAAAATTATAATGATCCATTATACTTATTAACAGAAGTAGTCTACTATGTGGTTACTCTGTATGGCGCATGGACCATATTATAATATTAATAAGGTTCTGTTTTCAACTCGCGTTTTCAAAATTTACTGATATTTTTACTAAATAATAATAAAAAAAAAAAAGTCGAATACTATATTAAACAATAATTATCCTTACATAACTTCTGATCTCAATATTCGTTTCTTATATAATTTATTTTTCATAATGCCTCTCAAAATCCAAGGGCCAAAAGATGTCTTTCAATACTAAAAAATCGACACATTCATTTGTTTGCACATGTAATTAGATTAGCAATATATCGGGAGTTTGTGAATGATTGAATGAGGTAGAGTATGTAATATGGAGATACCAAAGTTAAAGGCATCTGGGGATTGTACATTTTCAACTAATAATTATATCATGGGAACCATTAATGGTAAAAAACTTCGATGTTTAGGAAAAGCAAAGTAAGGGGCCTTGGTCATCAAGCAGTGAGTAAGCTTACATCTGCAACATATGGCCACAATTTTCCCAGCTGTTTATTCAGCCATTTCACCTGAAAGAATGAGCAGCATACACCACAACGTGAACATCAATGCCTGATATATTGTGTCCATAGAAGAGAAATAAAACGACACATTTTTAGATAAACTTGAGTAACTGGAAAAGATTATAAAAAAAGAAAATGCACATGGCATTCCCTTAACTTATAAAGTACAGTCCCATTTCCAGAGAAATACAGTCTAAACTTGAATCAAATCATATTGTCACCCTCGGACAACTAATTCAAACTCCAAAGATTACCAAGTAACTGAAATTCGCATAGTGTTCTCTTTCTACCAATATAAAATACACGAAGCTAAAACTGTATTTATAACATAATAACAAATAACAACATCCCACTATATCCTCCCAAAAGCAATCCTCCTCGAGTATTAAGTGTAACATAACTATTCCGAAAACATAAAGATAACGACAGGCATATTCATCTTAAATCGATGTAAAATAAACAAAATCGAGAACCGACAGCATAAAATTGAAAACCGAAATCTTAAAAACAAATACAACTAACCCAACAAAAACAGATTATCATCATCATCAGCTATCCACACTGAACACATTCCCAACTCAAATGACTAGCAAATAGTCTGTCTAACCTGCTCGAAAACAGGAAACGATATCCACTCAGGACAATTATCCCCACAAATCTTCTTCATATCCTCCTTGTTCAGTGAGCTCAGTAGTTTAACTTCAACAGCCTGTCCGCACAAACAAAACAACAAATATATTGTAAGTTTTTTATCGAAAATCCATAGAACCAATCAATCAAGGCAACGAATCAAAAGGCTAAGTATCAAAACTCAAAAACTAGCAATAAAACGAACCTTAGAAACACGCTTCGTGCTCCGGTGGCGCATCATGTAGCTCCATCCCGCCATTAACGCGATCCCTGTCAGCATCCCCATCACTAATCCCGATATCAACCCCATAACTTTTTTTCTACTTTCCCTTTTCCCCCAATTTGCTCTTAAATATCTCCAGAAACCCTGATTTTTTCAATCTTTTCCTCAGCCAAAACACTTGACAAATGAGGATTTACGTTACGAAACCGCGAACATTCTGCAACTGAAACTAATATTGACTGCAATTTATGGCTGTAACTGCCATATCATTAGAAATTAATGCTGCTTAAAAAACAGTTAGCGATCGATTGCTTGGTCTTCTCATCGCTCAGCAACTGTTGAATTTGTGCTCCGGAAGAAGATTGAACTTCTGTTGAAAGTGTGTGTTTGTATGTGAAAAAATGATAAATATAATTAATAATTTTAAAATGGTGATAATATCTGACTGAAAGAGCGGTGGCTGTGTATGTATCGGTGCGTGTAATAAACTATCTACGGTACGTTTTGAAATCTACTGTTACTATTTATTGAGGCATTTATGGATGAAAATTGAATTATTTATGTACATGAGCTCGTACTCGTATTTGTTTGTGTTAAAACCTAAAACACTAATCGTGTTTGTTTGATACCTAAGCTGAAATTCGTGTTCAAATTTATTCGTTGTAATGCCCGGTTTATTTGTGGATTATTTGAGATTTATTATTATTTTTATTGCTATTATTATTGTTATTATTAATTGGTGATAATATTTATATTTTATTTTATTGAATGCCATTATGTTTATTTATTTGTCAAAAGTGATTAAATGCTAATTATGAAATTTGTCTAATTGTTTAATTGATTTTGTGATTTATTAAATATATGAATAAATGTGTATGTGATAATGTGTAGAAAATATATATTTATTTTTCGGTTTATTTTTTTTATGGAGCGTTTGTATTCGAAATCGAGCCCGATAATTTTTGTTGTAATCGAATTGGGCCCGAACATATCTGTTTAAATTTTTATTTGAGCCCGTGAGCTGTTTTGTTGTCCCAACCGGCCCAAAAATCTTATTGGCCCAAATTCCTCGGGCCCGGCCCGACAGATTTTCCTTTTTCCTCTTTCCTAGCGTGCGTGTGTGTGAGTTTGTGTTTGCCTTGGACAACAAGGGATCAAAACCTAATACAAGTATATATATATATTTGTCCCTCACGTTTTTGTTCTCTTTGCACAAACAAATCCCGCAGCAAAATTTCGATCATCCCCTCCCTCTCTCTTCTTCTGATTTTCTCGCGCAGCAGGAAGAGAAAAAAAAAATAAAAAAGAATAAAAAAAAATTAATATCATCACCATCATCGTTCACCCTCATCGTTCATCATCCCCTCCGATAATCTCCCTTCAACACCATCCTCATCCTCGTTCGCTGCCATCATCGCCGGCGTGAAGAACCAGTCCGGCGACCTCTCTTTCCGTTCCCGACGAGCCCGTGAACCAGCGGCTTCCCTCCGACGAGAAGCTTTCCTCCGGCGACCTTGCAGCGACAACCGGTGACCGACCAGCAGCAGCAACTTCGTTCATTCCGTGCACAGCGAGCCTTCTCTTCCGGCGAGACGACCTTTTTCCGTCGAGCTTAAACCCCGTTCGTGTTCGTCCGTTTTCGTTTGATTCCCGAGAACGGTACAAAGGCTCGATCCCGTCTCGTTTATATCGTTTATGTTATTCATGAATATGTGTGAATTGCGTGACGTAAATAATGTGCGTTAGATTGTTCGTTATGATTTTATGTGATTGATATGATTTTATGTGTTATCGTATGTTCGGGATCTCTTCGATTTTCTCAAAAATCGAACGAGACCTCGAAAGTCGTGTAAGTCGGTGGATAATGGAACAATGTCGAGTCCTTGGTCTTATGAAAAGGCCTCGGACGATAAATTGTGTGTTGTGATTTAATTATCAAGTTGTCGAGCTTGTTAATCGCTGTTTTGATGTTCGAATTTTTAAAAATAGCTCGCTGCTCGAAACGATGTGAAATTTTGAGGGATGTGTTATCTGACCATATTCTGCCTTGTGTAAAATTTTCATAATTTTTTGAGACCTGTATCTATTTTTAATAATTAATTTGTATTCTGTCCAGAATATTGTTAAATGCATAATAAATTCATGCCTGACTGTAATGAGCTGAAATTTGAATATATCATGCCTCTATGACTTATATGTGTTGTGTTAAATTTTTAGAATTTTTGGTGTTGATTTGATATGGTTAATATTTTATTTATTGAATCTGCAGAAATGTTGTTTGAATTTCTAAAAATCGGTTACTGCGTGGAAAATTCTGAATTTTTACTGAGAGTCATATTTTAGGTGTTTGATCATGTTTGTAAAATATGGAAATTTTTAGAGTCCGTTTGGTTTTAGTTTGGATTTAAATTCGATAAACTGCTGTTGCCCGTTTGAATTTTTAAAAATAGCAGCAGTTATTATTTAAGGCTGAAATTTTTATAAGTGGACTTTGGTATACTGAATGTTGCTATGTAAAATTTTCAGGTTCAAATTAATTCATTAAGTCTGAGTATGGATTAATGTGCCCTTTTTGCTGAATTACTGTTCGAATTTTATAAAATAGGATATTTCGAGTTTAAAGCTGAAACTTTGTGATTTTACATGTTTCTGGGAGATAAAATTTTGTATAAATTTTCAGAGCTTAATTCGTAGGATATCTTGACCTTTTATTTTTCACGCGATTAATTGATTTTGTGATTTATTAAATATATGAATAAATGTGTATGTAATAATGTGTAGAAAATATATATTTATTTTTCGGTTTATTTTTTTTATCGAGCGTTTGTATTCGAAATCGAGCCCGATAATTTTTGTTGTAATCGAATTGGGCCAGAACATATCTGTTTAAATTTTTATTTGAGCCCCTGAGCTGTTTTGTTGTCCCAACCGGCCCAAAAATCTTATTGGCCCAAATTCCTCGGGCCCGGCCCGACAGATTTTCCTTTTTCCTCTTTCCTAGCGTGCGTGTGTGTGAGTTTGTGTTTGCCTTGGACAACAAGGGATCAAAACCTAATACAAGTATATATATATATATTTGTCCCTCACGTTTTTGTTCTCTTTGCACAAACAAATCCCGCAGCAAAATTTCGATCATCCCCTCCCTCTCTCTTCTTCTGATTTTCTCGCGCAGCAGGAAGAGAAAAAAAAAATAAAAAAGAATAAAAAAAAATTAATATCATCACCATCATCGTTCACCCTCATCGTTCATCATCCCCTCCGATAATCTCCCTTCAACACCATCCTCATCCTCGTTCGCTGCCATCATCGCCGGCGTGAAGAACCAGTCCGGCGACCTCTCTTTCCGTTCCCGACGAGCCCGTGAACCAGCGGCTTCCCTCCGACGAGAAGCTTTCCTCCGGCGACCTTGCAGCGACAACCGGTGACCGACCAGCAGCAGCAACTTCGTTCATTCCGTGCACAACGAGCCTTCTCTTCCGGCGAGACGACCTTTTTCCGTCGAGCTTAAACCCCGTTCGTGTTCGTTCGTTTTCGTTTGATTCCCGAGAACGGTACAAAGGCTCGATCCCGTCTCGTTTATATCGTTTATGTTATTCATGAATATGTGTGAATTGCGTGACGTAAATAATGTGCGTTAGATTGTTCGTTATGATTTTATGTGATTGATATGATTTTATGTGTTATCGTATGTTCGGGATCTCTTCGATTTTCTCAAAAATCGAACGAGACCTCGAAAGTCGTGTAAGTCGGTGGATAATGGAACAATGTCGAGTCCTTGGTCTTATGAAAAGGCCTCGGACGATAAATTGTGTGTTGTGATTTAATTATCAAGTTGTCGAGCTTGTTAATCGCTGTTTTGATGTTCGAA